AAMMAWTKKTKSMAMSRAMAAMAAAAAACATTTAAAATCATAATACATTTTATTAATACAACCACAAAATAATATTACTTCTATGCAATGAGGAGTTCTTCCCTATAAAGTACAATGGCCATAGCTTTCAAATAAGACTACAATATAAAATACTTATGGTACACTGCCTTCAGATAAGACTAATACTTCAGAATCATGAATTCATCCCAATTATAATAATGTAAMACTACTTCAATACACTACTTTGAGCTGCCAATAATTACAAAATGAGCAGTGATTTCCTCCTATCCCTCAATAAGCAGACTTTATGTAAGACAGAAGGAAATAACTGCTTGCAGGTAAGCTACAGGTAACACTGCTTGTAAAGGTAAAATTTTAACGATATTTAAAAAAGTCACAGCTTTATTCCTTCATACATGTTGTGGAATATTTGCTTTGGATTTTCCATTGTTTCTACAACATCACAATATGTACAGCTGTACATTAAGTTGTTATTGCTCAGACTATCATCGTAAACCCCATTCCAATACAGATAACTGCCATCTRAGTACAAGTGCCTTCAGTTGAAGATCATCTTCACATCCAGTCAAGATTTGTGAATATTCACTTTTAAYCTTGTCCTTCATAAACTGCGAGCAAATGCACTGTGGTAGTAACTAGAGAGAAAAAAAGAGAGTGAGAGTTAGTATATGAAAAAAACATCAAAAGTGTGCTCTTGAAAACAAGGTATTTTGAGGCAGTGTTCCAGAGCTTGCTGAAATGTTTTCATTGACATGCACTATATTACATCTCAGAAATTGGAACAAGAAATCATTATGTCCAAAAAAACATTCCATAATGGTCAAACTAATAACCCTAACCCCAAGATACTATGGTCTGTTTTAGTGGAAAGTTCTGTACCTATTGGGTAGGACTTGAGAATTTCATCTGATTCTCCACTATTTGATGAAGTTCTGATGGAGATGGTAAGCGGCCAGCTTGTAGCTTAGACCATACAGGAATATCTATAAAAACAAAAGTRCTTTAGTTTAAGATTACCACAATGTATTTCTTCATGTAAAGACGTAAGAACTTACCATTAAATGTGACTTCAAATGCACCAGTTGATACTAACTGGCCTTCTATGGTGTTGCTAAGGAAGAATATAAGGATACAAGAATACATCTGCAAAACACAAGATCTCTGATTAGTGGAATAAAGGGATAACTTTTGTCATAATTTAAATAAAAAATTGGCCTTGATCACCTATTGCCTTTATTATCATGAAGCGTAACCATGCCTTTGCATCAACATAAGAGTTGCTCTTGTTTCAATGCAAAGTAATGGCTAGCRTTAAAAATGGCAGCATCTGTCAAATTGCATAATTGTACACACCAAGTATTTTAGAAATTCTAGAAATTCTACACTGTCACAGTACATACAAGCAATGTATTACCTTATTTTGGACTGCCCATTGATAAATTGGTGGTGGTTGAATGTTAAAGTTTTCAAATATTTGCAATCGTTCCCCAAATATAATCAGTCCAATGATTAATAATTTTGTAAAACTCATGATTGAAGCTAACATCTGCCTTGGTCGGGGAGGAGGGTAATTATCGCCAACTATTTGTAGTTTGGGGAAATTTTGATTGAGGAACTGGGCATATTCCTCAAACACCCTCCTGTACCCTCACGAGTAACTGCAAAGAAAATGAAAATAAATGAATAAATAAAGTAAAAATATTTTACTGTAAAACTGCTAAAGAACACATAAACACGAGATATCAAAAAAAAAAATCAATTTGATACTGTCTACAGTATCATGGCTCAAGGTCTACATTTAGCTACACTACAGAAAATTTAACCTCTTGCTGGCCCGGTATAGTTGACTGCAGTTGATTTGGGTAAAATTGTAACAATTAAAATGAAACCAAGCGTTACTAAAAACTCATGGTAATAAAAACCTTTAATAAAGTTTTAAAAATGAAATTTCATAGAACGCTAGTACGAGTTTTTTCTCGTCACTAAAATAAGTATTGCGCAATAAAAGTGATTATATTGTCGAGACTTTTCYTCAGAGTAGTGTAATAACCCTTTACTTCTAGCATCCAACATATAMGACATTGATTTTTATCTAGTTTAAAGAACAATTATCACATAAGATTTGGTTCCTTTGAAAAATCCTTTCGTTGAAAGGAACAGGGATAAACGCTTTGTTCCGATGGAAGTCACGAGACAAACGAGTTTATTTTCCATGCCAAGTTCAAAGCGTTTTTTGACCATTCCAACACCGCAAAAAGAATTGATTCAAAATAGCTCTAACCYTCCTTTTATAATATGAAAAGATTTTTAATGTAAGTTAAGCCTYCATCGTAACATGCAGTTAAAGATGACGCAGCAATATTAAAACACGCTTCCTCTCCCCGAAGACAACTAGAAAACTTACCAGTAAAGAACTTTTATCGTTGGCCCTGAAAACATTGCCGCTCTCTTCATTGTATTCATGCTATTTGGATCTTGAGCACTGGCGTTGTTAGGGAAAAGGATTTCTTTTACAGTCATGAGAGAAAAGAGAGACAGCGCTCCCACGACAAGGATGCCACGGGACGCCATTTTGGATGAGTGAAGTATGAAGGGACAGCCACGACAATGTGCATTATTATATATCAAGTGTCAAAGTTCACTTTTCCTAGTATCTTATTGGTCGAGAGTGTACCACGTGAAAGTCACAAAATTTTACTGTTTCCCGGCAACTGTCCACCAGCGGTCAATAATATGTTGTGGACCGTCAATAAGTACAAAATCGCAGAAAAACACTCTTCAGTGTCGTGAAAATGCCACATTTACGGACGGTGAATTCCAAAATTGTTTTGAAACATTTAATTTCGTCTACAAATAGTTATAATATTCATTGTGTTATTAAATTGATTGATTTTAGTGACATTTGACTATTTGTATTGCCATTTTTCAGTCATTTTATCAAAATCTTTAATAAAAACACTTAATTTATTTACGTTTTTTGCTCTCTTTGACACTTGATATGATAATAAAGCACTTATTTACTGGAAACCTCGGGAAACAGTATGTTTTGCGGTCCCTCGACCGCTGATGTTTCCCTCAGCTTCGCTTCGGGAAACATCAGCGGTCTCGGGACCACAAAACATACTGTTTCCCTCGGTTCCAGTAAATAAGTGTTAATTGTTATCATCAATATTTTTACACGCTAATCAAAAGTCACAGGCAACCCATCCTTATTGAAAATGCTATTAAAAATGATTCTATTTTTTTTATTTCTTGAAACGTTAATATCTTAGTGTTTTTCAAAACAAAATTCTTATTTGGAAGGCAATCAGTCTTAATTAGGAAAATAATTAAAAATATTTTAAAACAATAAAAATATATTAAATAAAGAAAACTCAATCTGTTTGTGATCAGAAATGCAGCGAAATAAAAAAAATAGCCAGCCAACATCAGGTTCGGCTGAACGCAGGCTAACATCAGGTATAAAATGGTATTTTTCTTGCATTGCTGCTCAGCTGCTAATGTGATTCCTCCTACCCCTCCCGTACCTTTTCCCTAACATGACGTCATGACAGCAAACACGCATGTGCAATAGTAATCAACAGAAGAGGAAGCACAGAGGAGGAAAATGTTGGATCTTTTTACGATATTTTCCAAGGGAGGAATTGTCCTTTGGTGCTTTCAAGGCACATATCAGTCTTTTACTCTTCCAGTGAACGAACTTATTCGAAGTGTAATCCTTCAAGTAAGTTAAAAATRCAATTTTTGTGCACCGGTGTAAAGTGTGAATCATCACTTTCGTTCGACATTCTGTTGAARCATTCTTGATTTTTTTAGGAACGCGGAGGAGGAAATGCTTTTTCTCACGAATCTTTGACTCTAAAGTATAAGTTGGATAATGAATTTGAACTGGTGTTTGTTGTAAGTAGAAAACAACATTCGATGATAAGAAATATTTTATATCGTCCTTAAACTGCTTACAAATTAACTTTACTATAAACATATGTCGAAAAATTAAATATTCGGTCTTGCTATTAATACTGTTATTGTTCTTTCTTGCTGGTTTTTTATTCCTGTTAAATTGATTGTCACATATGTATTTTTCCATACGTTAGTAACTTATTTGTGAATGACTGTATTCTTGTTTCTAGGTTGCCTTTCAAAAGATTTTACAGTTATCATACATTGACAAGCTTTTAAATGACATCCAGTTAGAGTTCCGTGACAAGTACAAAGATGAATTAAGTAAAGGTGTCATGCGGAGCTATGATTTTGCTGAAGAATTTAATCGTCTACTCAGAGACGCAGAATCTAGTAGTAAAGTTGAAGCTTCTATACCCAAAAAGATGAGAACCTTTGAGCAATCTAAGAAATCTCAGAAAACTGTGGCATCGATGATTGTCAAAGGGAATGAAACAAATACTAAAAAAATAGGAAAAGATAAAAAGAAYGAACAGAAAGAATCAAAAGAAGGTAATTTTTTTAATGTTATTTTCATATGACACAAGATCTTCAACATYAACTATTCTATTTTATTTCAACTTGAATGCAGCAATGTTTTATTAATTATTTAATACCTACTTTACTAATTAAATAAAGTGATAAGATACCTACTTTACTACTTTATTAAGATAATCACCATTTGAAATATTGAATGATCATTTTTGTACATAACAGCACAGGCAGCAAAAGCCAAGGACTCCAAACTGCAAGAAACAGAAACAGTCAAAGTCTCTAATGGAAGTGCAGGCTTAACAASTGAAGAGATCCAGAAAAACAGGGAGAAAATGCTGAGAAGAATGGCTGGTAAACCAACAAAACCTGTGAGGTAAAAGTAAAAACCCTCCAGCTGATAAAATCCATATGAAGTATGATTAGTCTATTTAGATTACTTTTCTAATGGATGATTTTTTTTGAACAAGTGTACCTAACGCTGCTTAATTTTAGTCAGGGTAGGTTTTGGTTAATTTTTGCTTGATTCACGTTTTGATTCACAGCAAGCCATCACCAGTTCAACGTAAGGATCGCAAGAAGGTCAACAGRCAATGGGATAATGCTGGTAACAACAAAGACTTGGGAACACTGGACTTTAGTGGGTCAAGTGAACAGCAAAAAGAGAAGAAGCAACAAGAAGAAGACGAAGAGTTCGAAAACATGGTAAAATTCAATGAATAAAATAATGAATTATTCAAATCTAATGTGAAATGACTCCAACTGTGGTTCCTTCAGTGAAACTRTCAAATCAAATGATGATAGTAAATCCAGATAGTGATTGGACTGATAACACAGTTATCCAATCAAATCATACTGTTRTRTTCCCAMTTTCATACRTGTCATTGGCTAATGATGCTAAAGTGGCCCTGATTTCAATAGCCACACTGTAATATCAAATTGTTAACCCTCGATTTATAATGGTCTTTTCAGAAAGAGGAGCTGATTGGTTCAATGGTTGGTGAAATAAAAGAAATGGAATATGAGACTGGAAGTGAAGAAGAGGAAGAAGAGGAAGTGGAAGAAGAAGAAGCCAAGACAGCAACTTCTTCAAACACAAGGCAAGTTTTAATTGGTTTAAGTTTTTCTCCTTCCACTTGGCTGCAAGGCCAGAATCAAAYACAASCATCTCRATAAGTTTTAACAATTTTCAAGGAAATCATCTTGTACCTTATTTTTCTCCATGTACTTGAAGAATAGATTTATATATTTACTTTAAAAGTGTATTGTCAGTATTGATCTCATGTATTGTTAAATTAAATGTTCTGTTACAGCAGTGGTGGGTCTGGCCTGACTGGTGGAGTGTTTTCCTTTTTCAAAGGACTTGCTGGACAAAAGACACTGACACAAGAGCAAGTCACTCCAGTTCTTGATAAAATGAAGGACCATCTCATAGGTAATGTGYACGCTCATGCTGGAATGTCTAGTTATCAATCTTGTGGATGTCATTTTGATCTGTTGTGTATAAATTAATGTATAAAACAGTAATGCTTCAAGGCTGACAATGAGGACTGGACAGTATTCCTAAATCAACTCAATTTGTTCCAGTTTGCTCATTCACAAATGGCTTAGAAAAATACAACTTTTTCACATCACATGTGACAGCTTTAAATGACTTATGAAGTTGACCAGTTGTTGAAAGCTATTTTGACTGGGGGTCTTAACTACAATCCTGGATTGAATACTTCCCTCATATTGTTAATGTATACCTGAAAGAGATAGATGGCCAAAGTAATATGTTTTCTGACACAAACATTATTTTGAAGCAACTATATGTATATTTTCATTTCATTTTTCATTTCATTTACACCTCATGTGTATATTCATGAGCAAAGCCTCACCTGTTTCACCCTGTTATTCCAGCTAAGAATGTTGCAGCRAATATATCTGATCAGCTGTGTCAATCTGTGGCAACAAAACTTGAAGGCAAAGTCATTGGAACATTTAGTGGTAAGGCCAGTAAAGACAAGAAAATCACTARGCATTGCATCAAGAAATATGAATATAAAATTATCAATGGGTCAGAATTATGTGCACTCACTCAAAAAATGCAAAATCCACAATCACATGCCACTTTCTATATAATTTGCGTTTTCGTGAAAAAAATATCAAGCTGAAAAGTCCGTATTTAACAGCATAAAATATATGAGGGAAGCAAACWGAAATTAATTAAAAGTCTGCAGTGACGCCATCTTGTACAGCAAAGCATAATGGGAAATATAGTTCYGACAAAATAGTCAACCAAAGCCTTTTATTATTATTCTTGCAAAAACATGGCCGCGCTGTTTCTGTGAATGAATACAATGATGGCTTCGTGAAATCTTTTTAACGAATAGAAAGTTTGAGGGCACATTATGCTCTGTTGTACAAAATGGCGTCGCTGCACACAATTAATGTAAGTCCATTATCCAGGTATAACATCCACTGTAAAGGCCAGTCTTGAAGAGTCCTTGATTCAGATCTTGTCACCCAGCCGTCGGGTAGACATCCTGCGTGATGCTATGGAAACGAGGAACCGTGGCCGTCCTTACGTCATCACATTTTGTGGTGTCAATGGTGTTGGAAAATCAACCAACCTCGCAAAGGTACATGGTTTAGTTTGCTCTATTGGGCTTCCTGTGTTCAAATGGAGGGCTTAGGGTTAGCCGAMAAGCATGTAGCGGAATTACTGACAAAGCTTAAACAAAAGAAATTTCACGTAAATGCTTGTTCCTCTTTGCGAAACGGCTTTTCAAGTGGATCTTAAGCAAATTTCATCAATGGGGGAAAAAAGCGTTACTTGCCGGTCCTATTTAATATTGTATTAAACGTTATTATAAAAAGATGCTGTAGTATGTCATTCAGCGAATTTGTTACCTTTTTACAGGTGTGTTTCTGGCTCCTTGAAAATGGCTTCCGTGTGATGATTGCGGCTTGTGATACCTTTCGTGCAGGTGCGGTTGARCAGCTACGTACCCATGTACGTCATCTTAATGCCCTTCACCCACCCTCTAAGGAAAACGGTCCACCGTCTGTAGTACTCTACGAGAAAGGTTATGGAAAAGATGCTGCTGCTATTGCAATGGATGCTATTAATTTTGGTAAAGTATTTAAAGCGATAATGGTTTGTGATTATTAGAAAAATGTTAAGCAAAACTTGATTTAGTTATTTATTTAAAAGCCTGACCAGTAGTGTAGCACGACTAATAATTTGTATTCTTCCTGTTTTCAGCCCGAGACCAGCGTATTGATGTTGTACTWGTAGATACAGCAGGGCGAATGCAGGATAATGAACCCCTGATGCGTGCCTTGTCCAAGGTCAGTCCATCCGTCCATTTCAATTCTCATCCATCCACTTAATCATTTCCCATCCATTCACATCTGGCTTTTTCATTTCATTCGTTTGTCCATTTGCATTTATTTTAGTTGATAAAGATCAACAATCCAGACCTTGTACTGTTTGTTGGTGAAGCTCTTGTTGGCAATGAGGCTGTGGACCAGCTTTCAAAGTTTAATCAGGCTTTGGCAGACTATTCCAGCCAAGATAATCCACGGCTTATTGATGGCATTTTACTCACAAAGTTCGACACTATTGATGACAAGGTAAATCTTCGTATGGCGTCATGCTTTTTTCGGTAAAATTCGCCATGGGGTTTGTGGACATAGAGCATGGCTTATTGCTGAGACCTGTCTCGCGCGCATCGAGAAATGAATCTCAGGCTTCGCGCTACTCCTTGAAATCTTTGAAAAGTCCTGGAATTGAAAACTCGTTTTTAAGGGGCGCTTGAAAAGCCCTTGAAAAATGGAAAAATTGCTAAAACTCCTGGAAAACTCCCTTGAATCTGATGAAATTAACATATTGCCTTTTGCCGTTTGGATTGAAATATGGCTATTTTTGAAAGTGGCCACTGGAAACATTCACAAACATCAAAACTATCTTCAAAAATAGTCCTTGAAAATCGCGCTTGAAAAGTACTTGAAAAGTCCTGGAATTTTATATTGAAAATGTAGCACGGACCCTGAATGATATCAACTGTTCTTTTGTTTTTTTATAGGTCGGTGCTGCTATTTCAATGACATATATCACAGGGCAGCCCATTGTGTTCGTYGGTACCGGACAGACGTATCGAGACTTGAAGAGTCTCAATGTCAAGGCCGTTGTGCATGCTCTTTTAAAGGCTTAAAACAAACGCATTATTATCAAATGAATATATTGTACGTRCAGAAATATTCCATTATTATGTTATGAAGCCGTCAATGATACGCTAGAAAAATCGTTCCTTCCCATCAACCCTTAAGAGCGTAGCAGTAACAATTGGGTACGCGTTCGGCACTTTGAAAGAAACCGCATTCATGTAATGTTTACTTCATGTATCGCGGGCTACTGACACGGTAGTCAGTTTTGTTTCTTTTTCTTGAAATTATTGGTTTTTGTTGACGMCTAAGTACCAGGCCTACTGAGGTGTTGTAGGTAGATTCGAGGCAAGGCTCCAGTTCTTGGGCTATCTTTGTTGTGATCTCGTAAAGATTCCAAGACCCTCGGAGAGCAGTCCATACTTTTATTTTATTACAAAAATTCACGAAGAATTGGTGTACCACCAAATATTTAATAAACTGTCAACCAGAAATACTAAATTCAGTTAATAAATGCAGTGTAATATGAACTAAAACGAAATAAACACATGTTAACGTCAAAATGTCCACTATAACGTATGAAACGCCCACCCCATAGTCCCAGATCAATTTCATCAATTTTGGTTTCTACTCGCTCCTCTTTATTCTGAGTCTCCGGCCTTCTTCCCAGATCCATCGGTTTCCCTCTTACAGAGAATTCTTCACTGTACTTGACAACTGGTTTCCTTGACAACAACATTTTGAGCAATGTTGTCCAAGCTCGTGTGCACAGCTTCCCTGAGTGATCGAAAAGGCATTGCTTTCTTCCGGACAAATTACCATTTTTGGTAATCTTTAGACTAAAAATGTGGTAAAAAACATATTATACACAGCTAGTTTTTTCGTTGTATATCTTCCTATGCACTTGACACAATAAAATGTTCAAAACTGAATCATGTGGCTCACCAGCGCAGCTTGGGAGTCACTGCAACGCTTTGAACATTTTATATGATGGCAAAAGTGCGTCATTAAGAGGACATTCAACTCGAAGACCCGGAGTGTGCTGTTCAAAATCTACGGCTTTGGATGGGTGATTATAAATCTCCTTTTAGATATGAATTTTTCCTTTAGTAGTAACACTGGGCGAGCTTTAAGCTAACCGCAGTTTCACACTTGACGAACACAGTACTATCACTTCAAGCGAGCAACATGAACTCAATGCCCCCGCTTACTATAAATAATCAGAAATAATCGCGTGCGTTAATTAAATCAAGCTGCCAATGGCAACACAACTCGGAGGTTGTAGGGTGATTTTGAAAAATTTTAACAGAATATGAAATTGAAAAAATGTACCAAAGATGAGCTCATGATCAGCTAAAACATTGCTATAGATGTTGTAGTATCATCAACAAACCTATACGATCGCAATCTGTCGAACCTTCGCCGGCAAATCCGGCTACAAAACTTGTTTCGCTATCCATCCAAATTTTCCAACTTCCTTCAAAATGACTAAGCACGATATACTCCCAAGTAAGCTTCCGCTTCCGGGTATTTCTCGGTCCGCCATTTTGAGAGCCTGCGATTTTTTTTTTAGCGGTTAGTTTACATGAAAGTGAGTGAGTGAAAAATCATCATCCCCCTCCAATAACTCTTCGATTGCTCAGTTACGCAATTGCTTTTTGCTATAATCTTTTTGAAATAACTACAATTTGCCAGGTATCGCACACTTRTATTTCACGTGGGTGGACAAATTACTTCATGCAGTTCGCTGTTTTCATGCAGAGAGAAGCTAGTGCTGGTCAACTGGCTCAGCTGGCTGGGCACCGTACACACACAGATTAGTTTCAAATGTTTATAATACGAGCAGTCAGAAAGTCTTCGCGAAAGGTGATAATTCAACGAGATCGGCAATCAGGAACCAAAGGGATTTTATCAAAACAACTGAATTGGATCCCATGGCGAGCTTTATTGATTGAGTACCGTTGCAAGTTTAGAGTTTTAATTCACCGTGTTTCAAAGTTCTGTGCACCTAATCCATTTCTCTGATAGACTGCATGGTTGAAAAAGTCTCTGAGGGTTCGCTCGTCACCCCGTCGCGGACTTGAAATTAAATTGAAGGAGAGAATGGTATTTTGCAATAAAGATATAAAAAACATATAGAATGTTCTCTGATTTCATTGGCTTTATCGATTTATTGATGAAGGTGACAATAGTCATATACAGCATATTGGGAATCGAAACAGAGATTATTTTTCTCAAAAGCGACGATAGAATTCAGAACGCTACAAAGGGCGGGGCGGCTAACATAAGAGAAAAATTTACATTACTTTTTTTCAGATGAAAGCTCATTTAGTTGTTTTTCTGTTGATCTCCTTTCATCTACATATGATATAATTTATATTTCTTATGATATAATTTATATTTCTTTATTTTTGAACCATAAAAAGGGGGTTGTCTAACCACCCCACCACTCCCCTTTCTGCATATATCCTCCCTTGCTAAAATTAATAAATGAAATAACAATTTGGGTAATTATTTTGAAATGTCTCCACTGGATATCTTATTGCAAGCCACCGTCTTGTGGCGTTAACGATGAATTGGAAACTGATCATTAGAGCGGCGGTTGTTGTTGATGAAAACTTGATCTCTATCATAAAACAATATGGCAGTGATTCATATTGTATTTTGTATTTGTGCTGTTAATACTAACATTACACAACCTTTCTTGTACGACTTATCGTTTATTTTTCTTGCCAGACGTCGAATCTACGTCTAAGCAGTTTTTCTTTTGTGAGCTTTTGCAGTGCGCGGTCAATAAATATATCGTGACTGTAGCTCTCGAAAAACATCAGGTTGGAATTCCAAAACATGAGGAAATGTCCTTTGTGATGTAACCAAAACATTACAAATGACCAAGGTTATTTACGATAAATATTGTGTGGGATCAAGAGAAAAGAATGAAAAGATAGATTATATGAATATAGAATAATTTGATTTTGTTTTTTTAATGCGATGAATGGCGATGCTTGAAGCCTCACCAGTCAAAGTCTTTCTTGTAACAAGCTGCATGGGTATACATATCAAGTATACATCCGGAGACCATTTCTACGAGATTTACAAAATAAAAATAACTGAAATAATATTTTAAAATGCAAAAACGTTATGGTTCCTATAAATATAGCAATGTCAGGCTAGTGGTTTCCAGTCGTGGTTTTTGACATTGTTGAGAACGAGTGATTCAGTGTCACAAATGCGCGAAAAACGCATCGCTTGTAGCGCTTGTCACTGATTCCATACTGAAGTTTTTATCGGCTGGAACCTCGTCTAAACTTTAAACATGGTTAAAGTTTGTTGTCAGCGATAAAAATTCAGTTTTCGTGCATCGTCGACGTTGCAATAGTCTGCTGTTCAAGTGAGGACGGCTTTACAGCCCATGCTTTTCTTGGCGCCATTTTGGTGGGCGCTGCGCGTACAGAGGAACTAGATGATTGATGGCGGGCGATACCAAACAGGAYAATAGCCATCATGACTTCTAAGAGTCTCATAGCTGTGGTAAATAAATACCACGGCCATGCCGAGATGTAGACAGTCTTCGAAAAGATTCCATACGGTCCTGCCATGGCATAAATCTGCATTGCTGTGATCACCATTCCAACCAGAGCAACCCCAACGCATGCAAGCAAAATGCGGGACATTTGGTTGCTTGTTGACTGRTTATTGGAAGATTGTCGCATCTTTTTCATACTATCCCAGATTAATACGGAGACGTAAGAATAGAAGAACGACAAAAGGAAACTTAAAAGTGCGTATAAAAGTTGACAAACAAAAGTCAAGATTTTAAGTCGCGGAGCAAACGAAATAGCGAGCTCCGAGCCGAAGACGAACAKGAAATGCGGAATTACAACAAGTGCAATGTTTCTCGTGTTAAACCATGTTTGAAAGCGTTGTTTCAAACGTATCGCGTTGCGAAGAACCACGAACAACAGACTATAGGAAGCAATCAAACACGGCTGAGCAATTCCCCACAAAACGTTAGCAACTGCTACAGGCATTGTTTTTCTATGATGATAAGCATCGATACTCAAAAACAAGCACCTTGAAGTCCCATACATCACCAAAAGTGCGTGYAAAACAATAGAAATARCTCTCTTATTCGAGCTTTGACGCGMTATTCGTAGTCTCAGCAAAGCCACCAAAGACAGCACAGCGATAATGSCAAACATGGCCCCGATACCAAACTGATGGACTTCCCAAGCGGCGCCCCAARTATCAATGGCTTTATTCCACTCTGGCATTGGCTCCACTACTACTTCGGGTTTTGGTGGTRGGTTAGTGGAGTTTAAAGTATTTCCTTCTGGTTCTGGTGCGCCTGGTGTTGCCTCGGGCACAATTTCAGGCTTTGTGAAATCACTAATCGACATTTTCAGTRGATAGTTCACTCTCAAGTTAAAACAGTAGGTTTTACGTGAGTCGTTGTTCGCTTACGGAAATCCTCTCGCACGTAGAAGTCAATAATGACTAATGGAGATTTGCCGATATACATAAATATATATATAGCGGAGTAATTAACGAACACTATGACATGAATTATTCATATCGATCAAGGTATATCATYCATTGTACAAAATGAAAGAAAGCGGCAAAACTTAATTACCGATTCAGAGGAAATATGGCGAATGTGAGGTAATTGTTTTAAGAACTTTTCAGTGCCGAAGTCAGTTAAGATAACACTGAAAAAGTGACAAAACTTCTGGTTSCGGGTACTTGCTCTAAGCTTGCTCTAGATCTAAAAGATCCATGTCAAATTAAATTGAAATCCAGTTTCTATATATTTTAAATAGTGTTTATCTTATTTCAATTTAGAATTGTCATTTGTCACAGCTATTTACATATATATGTGAGAATGACAATAAGAAAGTGCTATTTAAAAACTATTTAAATACCTTATAAAAAAACATGGAGATTAATTGAAACTACAAACTGACAATTTTACTGATGGCTTGAAATTAAAAACCCATTTCAATTAACACCGAGAAAACTTAATGCTTGCAATTTTATCTAATTTCTTACTTTTATTTATAGATATTATAAACATCACTATTTTTTCATCTGTTATGTTGTCGGATACTGAGTTCTTGTTGGCGATTCGAAATTTAAGACTTCACTAGGTTTTTGTTGCCAAGGTAGTTACTAAGTTACTATTTCATTCTACATGCAGTACCAAAATCGTGACAAAACTCGTGTTACTCCATTCAATGACAACTTCAARCATGAACCTCAGTCACGCGAAATCTTTGCATCCTTGATTCGGCTTTATACGAAAACGGTGAAAACCCAATTTCATTTATAAGTTCAAGTTGGCTATACAAATGTTATGAAAATAGAAAAATATTAATGTAACTATAACAAATAATAGAAATTTATAATCATCAACTGACTTTTTTTTAACCTTTTTTTCATAATCTTTTATTTACAAAGATACATAAATTTTCATTAAAAATTTCTTTCCTTGCTTTAGAAAGATATACTAATTTAGATCGAAAGATACCTATATTCTTCAAACCCAATGGACCACGTATATATCATACAGGAATTTATACATATTTTTGACATTTTCTCAGAAAAGAGATTTCCTTGTTTTGGAAAGATACATCTTTCATTAAAGTTTTCATTTGTTTTGTTGTTTATGTAATGTTTCAACACTTTGATATACTCCCACGGCTATTATAGTTTAWTGAAAGAAGGCCCACGTACGTTTGTCAATAGTTTTATTACTCTTACAGAACTTCACTTGTTTGTTCAGTTTCTTTTCTTTTTCAGTTTCTTCTGACAGATGTAGTCATAACATATTCATTATAAAAAATTCTGTCAACTTTCTAAAGTGATAATGTAGTGTACACTATGGCCAATTTCTTTTAATTTTCTCCCGATCTTCGTTAATTATAATTGAAAATATGAACTCAAAAATGTTTAATAACTGATACACCATGTTCTCAAGTAGTAGCTCCTTCATCTACAATATATCGATATATATACAGCTATTTCGAAAAAAGTTGTCGGGGAGAAGGGGAGCGTCGATTGTCGAACGGGTGATTGCACGACCGAAAGGGACTATGGTTACACTATTTTGATAAACAAAATTTCATGCACTTATTGGATTCACCTTACATAGAAATGGAGACTAAATGAAGCCAATGTTTACCACAGACTATCTTACAATACAAATCAGCTGTTATTGCCTGAGCAGGCAAAACCCATGGCTACTTTCGGTCGTGCAATCGSCGTTCGACCATTGACATTCGCCATTTTATCCGACAACCTTTTTTGAAATAGCTATATACACCTAATTGCAAAAATAGTTGTCATAGAGAAATAGAACATTAATATTCTATAAACAACAAAATTGAAAAGACAAAGGAAAGCGTTTAGCAGCCCCCTTTGGACCCCTACGCAGGCTATACGGTAAAAGGAASACCTTTAAAAAATGAAAAATGAATGTGCTTTTATAAGTTAAATATATTAGTGGCAAAAGGAGACCAGTGTTGTAAAGTCCGAATCAGGGASGTGTCCGAATCAGGCAGAAAAACGTTCGTCTACAACCATCCCATTAAACCTGCATAAGCAGTCATCCTACAACATAGCTACAACTGTCGTAGAGATTCAGATAATTGTTGATATATAGCGGCCTACGACAGTTGTAGCCATGTTGCAAGCAAGGATGACTTACGCAGGTTACATGCGATGGATGTATAGGCAAAGTTATATCTTCTATTGATAACAATTCAGTAAGTTTAGACCCCTCCCGATTCATACGACGGTCTTTTGCCGCAACTAAATTAATGTCTTTGCTTGTATAGACAAATTATAAGTTCGTCCAGCAGCGAACACTCTACCAATGTCAAATATAAATACATAAATATTCAGAGTACGAAAGGATAAACTCCAGCAATYAGATTAAACGAAAACAAAGACAAAGTCAAAGTCTAGCTTCGGAAAGTTTCAAAAAGCCAGTAGCCACCATTTTGTAAACTAGTGGAATTATGCACATTCRAAGTTATTGTGCCGCGGAGCCTAGCATTTTCCATTTAATCTTTTATCAATTTATTTGTATATTTTCATCATCGACTACATCTGCATCTCTTMATTAATCAACGCCGTAGGTATTTTTCTTTCAATCTTCTGATTGTAACATATCARTTGCCGACTTCAGTGGTGGACATATTGAGGAGTTTCAGACGTTATTCAGATGACTGAAGATAAATCGACCGATGTAACAAAGCTTATAGAAACTGACTATATGAGAAATAATCCGCGAAAAGTTAAACGAATATTTCAGGTTGAGAATTTCCCTTTTGACGTCAAAAAGATTGAAGACTTTTTGATTGAAAATTTCAGAAAAAAAATAAAGAGTGAAGGAATCATTCGATAGCGAAATAAAATTATGCCATTCATGTCGAAAATCAGAAAACTTTTATAGTGATTTTAAACACCCATGAAAGAAATGCGGCGAACAATTTCGTCGTGTGATGGCGATCTTCAACTTTTAGTTGATTTAGATCTTGGATTTTTGGGTCATTACTAACTGCGATTGATATTCAGAAGCTACGAGATCTAAGTTTCATTTAAAGGAAATGAAACTATAAAAACCATGGCAATCAATATGCTAATATGACAGCAATTTATCCAGCCATGTGGTATTACTGCAAAAGCTGATTAAAAATTGCCCCTGCAGAGAATCAACATATTGCTGCGCCTTGTCAGGTCGTCTTCCACAACGAAACTCTGRAAGGTTAATAAATAGTTTTAAAATACTATAGTTGATGTGAGAATTTTAAATTTTTGCCTAAGTTCCTATTTGCAATTTCAGGACTTTTAGTACATCCATTATCCTTTAATAAACAAGTCTTTAGATTTACACGTTGATACGATTCCGTCGGTCAGTGTAATGTCATTAAAACAGGCCCGTAGGCTGCTCCCGAACGGGGGAGGTTTCCCTAGTCAGTACTGAAAACAGACCTGTGTCATTTAAAAATTCTAAAAAATCACATTGCCTTTAAAAAGGTAATAATTCAAGTGTCCCTATCACTGCAAAATCCAGGTTCCACCGAGGGCGCAAAAAACGGGGTTCCGAGGTTTTACCAAAATGTAGCAAGAGTATGAACTTTTCAACCAATAAGCTAGTAAAATCTTTCTTGCTTTCATTAAATGATGTAGGCCGGACACTAGTTTTATCTTTTCAGGTTTATATGTCTATTTTTGTGTCATTTGTGCACCCAGGAATTGGTGACAAAGGCCGAGAGTTCACAAAGACAAGCTGCCTAGTTACTGTAACATCCCTTCGACGTCCAGGCAAAACGAATGAGGAATTCTGTGACAGACCACCTTGATGATAGTTACTGGACTTACTCGAGAGTATCTTGCATAATAATATGGACATGTAAAACTCGAGGAGTCTTTGTGMGGAGGAAAATCCATACCACGGCCAAGGGGGAACCTCTCGAGTGTCTGAAAACACTCCGTACACGCCCGCCATTGCATAGACTTGAGAAACGCACAAGAGAACACCACCAAWGATAGCAGCCAGACAAGTCGACAAGATAGCCCTGAGTTTAGAGCTCTGGCCGTCATAATGTCTCCCCACAGAGCTAGATTCAGCGTCTTTTTTCTTTTCCCAAATTTTAAACGCAAYAAAGGAATAAAAAAGGATYAAAAAYAAWGTGAATATCACGTAGAGAAKCTGGCAAGCAAATRCAAAACCAATGAGTTCATGAGCAAATGAAATTGTCAATTCAGCAGCGCAGACAAAGAAGAAATAAGGCAATGTTATCATGGTGATATTTTTGATTGTATACCAGCGACGGAACCGCTGCTTCATCACCAACGCGTTTTTCAGCACGATAAAGATAAGTACATACGCTGTTATAAGACAAGGCTGACCAATTCCCCATAACAGCTTAACTACCACAACTGGAAGTGTCTTACTCGAGTGGTAAGGATCAATTAAGAGAAATAACGAACGTGACAAACTAAACATTAACAGAAGAACCAAATTCACGATATGGACCTTTGTACGACGAATGTTGGTTGTATAAACTAGTTTTGAAATAGCGAAAGCGGAGAATAGTGCAATGAAAAGAAAGAGCATCCCAAGTCCATATATGTGGACTTGCCAAAAGCCTCCCCATTCTTTTAAAGCTGTATTCCACTCTGGTAAAGGCTCAACTTCAGCTAYTGAAGGTTCTGG